TTTGAAAATACAGTGTAAGTACCTGACTTAGACTTGGTAAAAAATCCTTTGGCAGGTAAAACAGCATGTGTATGTGTATTTCATCTGTGTATTCAGCTGTGTGCCTGAGGTTCAGCTTTTAAATCTTCTTTTAATGCATCTGGCTTGTTTACTTTGCTTTAATGCTAGAACAACAGCCAGCTCAGGAATATATCTGTCAGCTTCCATGGCTAAAGACCCCATCCTAGTATAAATGATCACAAACAGATTGCAGTTCGATTTAATTACTTATTAGGGATTAAGATGAATGAGTCCCTGGGGGAACGCACGTCCAACGTGCCTTCTGTCACTTGAAGAAACAGACATTCATCAGAAAGTACATCGGCACTTCATGAAGCAACATTAAAAAAATCAGACCAGGGTCCACATATCATCTACAAGTCACTCTACCAAGATCCTACACTACTAAAGTCACAGCCTAATGACATTACAAATCCAAAATGGTGGCGGGGAGTGTGTCCCCAGGCCCTGTTAAGTTTTTCTATGAACATTTATTTACAATAAAACCCTGAATGCCTCTCTTCCACTCCATGGTATACAGGATATCAACCCAAACATGACTTCTGTTTGTTGGCCACAGCTGGCCTAGAAAAACACTATATTGCCAAAAGTATTGGGACGCCTGCCTTTACACGCACATGAACTTTATTGGCATCCCAGTCTTAGTCCTTGGGGTTCTAAATTTATTTGGCCCACCCTTTGCCCCACCCAGCTTCAACTTTTCTGGGAAGGCGTCCACAAGGTTTAGGAGTGTGTCTATGGGAATGTTTGACCATTCTTCCAGAAGCGCATTTGCGAGGTCGGCTACTGATGTTGGACGAGAAGGGCTGGCTCGCAGTTCTATGCTCTAATTCATCCCAAAGATGTTCTATCGGGTTGAGGTCAGGACTCTGTGCAGGCCAGTCAAGTTCCTCCACCCCAAACTCGCTCATCCATGTCTTTATGGACCTTGCTTTGTGCACTGGTGTGCAGTCATGTTGGAACAGGAAGGGGCCATCCCCAAACTGTTCCCACATATAACGGCTGCATTGAAATGAGACACCTGGGATTCCTGCAGCATGAATCCCAAATTGCCCAGTGTGAATGGGGCCTTACACTAAAAGGTCACAATTGAAAACAGGAAAAAAAACACCCTGTTCAAAAATATACTGACTGAGTTGCTTGTCTGTTTAAAGCTGAGCTCCAGGCACAAAAACTTTAATTCAACTATATTCCTCGATAGCCACAAAGCATATAAATCCACTTTGTGTGGACCAAATGCCTATTCAAACCCAATTATTACCTTCTAAAAGTAACAGTGCTATCATCCCTGTGCTGTGCATAGCCAGTGCCGAGAGCAGAGCTGTGGGAGGGACCCAGCAACTCCACCCACTACAGGCTGCCTGCAGAAAACTACATGAGGGGGCGGAGGCAAGACCAGACACCTTGCCCAAGTAGAGAGAGCAGCAGTGCTTGGTCTGTATTACAGGAAGCCCTGGCACAGAGGAAAGTGTCACACTGGATTACTGCAGAGATCTGACAGAAATACACAAAGCACACCAAGATTCAAGTAAAAGTGCACAAGCTTCTTGTATTTAGCTCATATCTGTTTAGCTTGGAGTTAAGCTTTAACAGCAGCAACATATTGCCAAACACGACAAATGTTTTCAACACAACTCCAGTCTTGGTAAAGCAAAAGGTAAATAATACAAGGGTTACCCTTAACAAGCTTTCCAATGTAGCTCTGCACTAAAAGTCTGGAAAAGTACCACCTAGAGCACACTAAACATTAGAGTGACTGATGAGACTGCAGACTCCCCCGGCAGCTCTCTCTGTAATTTGCCAATCTCTGGTATGCTCTCACCGTAATATGGCAGTTTTTACGTGAAACATGTCAGTGGTAAAATGGCAATGTAAGTTCCTCATGTAAATGTTCCTAATCTAGGTTATAGGACAATTCTGTACACCAAAGGGGTTATGCTAATTTATATTGGGTTATTTGAAAATAAACTATCAATTTTAATGAGACCCCCTACATGGACCAATTATCAGAATATAGCCGAATTCCATGCAGATATAAAAACATCCTTTAATCTAGATATGTATTCATTAGGACTCGTTCAATGTATTTATACACAGAACTAGTACAAGTGCCTCAATCTGTCTTGATATCAGCCTTCTGGGACCTCTGAACAGCAGGACTTGGTCTGGAAGAGCGAGTAATCAGAATTCTGAGCCAGTCAAGGCTCCACTGCTTTGCACACTACACATGCTTGCAGGAGGGGAAAGCACAGGGATGACCTAAATGATTTGCTACAGCTTCTTTACTGTGCAGTCCCAGGCTATGGTGGTCCGGAACCAGGTTGTATTACTTAAAGCCCATAAAATTTACCCTTTAAGTACCCCACCGCCTTTCACCTCACTACAGCAGCTTGGCCACTCTACTCTTCTCCTTGATGCTCCAGGTTATGGGCCATCCCTCACCATTCTCGCATACAAGGAGGGCCAATAGACCTGCATTGTATTTGATGATGTCAATGTGCAACCGCAGCTGGGAGCACCTTAGAAAAGGGGGTTGGGGAGACCGGTCACAGATGGAAGGAGCGTGCTGAAGCGAGGAATGAGTTAAGAATCTCACCTTATTCCTCTAACCTTAGACCTAATGAGCATTCAACCCCTGCAGTGACGGAGAAGGGGGCACTGCATGGGCATATTATTTATGTTGCCCAGAGTTGGGTTTTATCTGTATCATGCATCATCTGCATCATGCAAAGAGGTCCAGGACCTGGTTTGGCTGTTTGGCAAGAGTATCTGGATTGCAAGAATGGATGAGAATGTGTGTACACTCTACTTATAGGTATTGGAACTGTGTATTTAGATTTTATATGACAACAGGGTATTTGGTGAGTGACATCTGACCATGCCAGCATGTGTACAAGGTCATCGTGGAACTATTCTTTGTCCCCTGCATGATTCACATATTTGATTTAGGTTCAAGCTTCTGCAGATTTTTCTATATGCATTATATTTGTGTATGATCAGCCTTACTTACAACAAGGCTGCTCATGCATGTTCAGGTCAAACTGCCCAATCTTTAGGTGTATGTGGGCCATTAGTTATGAAATATGATTTAAAAAAAAAAAAGGTAAAAAAAATACTGACAAAGGCGCAATTTACTGCAATGCATCCCCAATGCACAATATACACATGTGGAGTCAATATCTCCATCTTGTAGCAATTGAAGCATATTTTACTATTCTGGCAACAAAAAAGATTTTTGAAGGGCACCTTTCACAGGACTCAAGAATGTGAACAGGGTGTAAATATTTATGGGTATAACAAAAGAAGACTAGGTACATTGCTTTCTAGTACATTCGCACTATTATTGTTTCATTTCACATCCTGTAAAATGGATTCAGTGCAGAGAATATATACTGTACATCTGATCTGGAAATGATATCACCAGTATGTACAATCAAATCCAACTGTCTTTGTAGGAACCCACATATCTGCTTTTTAATATCAGTGCAAGTAACAGTGACCATGTGCAAAAGTGGAGTAACCCATAGCAGTAGATTACATAACTATTTAACTGGGTTAGGTCAGTGTTTCACAGCCCTGTCCTCTGGGATTACGAACAGCTCCTATTTTCCTGATTTGTTTCATGGAATTACAAGTATATTGATTCTTTTAGCCGAGTTCACCCAGGTGGAGGACTTTACTGGCCCTCTAAAAAGAGGTCCACTGTGGATAGCTCTTCAGAGATGATTGAGTGTTGGTTTGCAGGCGTTCAGAAGGCAATACAGCTGTCCCCTGAATGCCTGTTTTATTTCCTATCCCAGGGGGCATTTTATATTGAAATATATTGTTTGGCACATGGTTGCAGTGCAGTCCCATTGACTTCAATAGGCACGTTTGGCAACCGGTATCACCTTCCAAACGTGACATGCCCAGTTAAAATTGCTGCACCGTGAAGCAAAATGTGTACGATCTTGTAATCCACAGCAAACAAACCATCACTCACATCCTGACTAGCTCTCCACCTCAAGTAAACCACCGGTGCTGGCATCGAGCACGTCTCCGCTCCGCATTCTAATTTCCCAAGCAAATACTGCACTCGACAGGATCTTCACCAAAGACAACCCTCTTTATTCAAAAGACACACACTGTCATTTCCTCTAACGCTTTTCACCCAACGGGATTGATCGTAGAGATGAAGTCCGATAGGTGGATCGCGTTAGTGGCTGGAGGAACACGGAGGATTTTGTTTAAAGTTGCTTATCTTCGGGGAATATCCTGTGGAGTGCAGTATTTGTTTGGGACAAAGAATGTGTGCAAACCATTCTGGCCGCCATATTAATGTATAGGTGGGCGGTCGGGGGTGGTAAAAACATGGATCAACTGCCTGTTTTGCCTGCCCCTTTGATGCCCTTGTGGACTCAGCCTTATAGATTAGATTATTAACATGCAAGTGCCTGTTAGTTTGGAAATCATAACCTGAAGAAAGGCGAGATAAAAACTTGTTTAGGCCAACCAGAACAATGGTAGATGACTGCTGAGTGGTTCCAGTAGGTTACGGCCCTCTGCTCCTAGTCATATTTAAAATGTCCAAGAGTACCAGATGCCCAGTTAGGCTGGTACTATGAACAGATAGGTAAGGAATAGTGCATACTCCCTTAATATTACAAACACATAACTTGAAAAAAAACTGTATGCCATCAACCCTTCACTTGCTCACACAGCAATCTCATCGTCCAGACTGTCTCCCAGCTTGTCCCTATGCAATACGTGTGCCAGCCTTCCACCATCATCCTGCTCGGAATCTCCTTCCTCGCTCTCATCAGTGTTAGACTCATATTCAGAAGCTATGCCAGACTCTCGGAATCTATACAGCTCCAGACTACCCAGCAGTTCACCTGACCCCTCCCCTTCGCCAGGCACAAAGCGATAACACTGCACTTTCACCAGGCAGTCTGTCCTACCTAAGGGGCTACCCAGTTGAAATGAAGGATCGGGGTCTGTCAGTGGGGGTAAATCGTCAGGTTGAGGTGTTGTTGTGTCACAAATCACAGACAGGATACTGGGACGGAAAGTAATTTCCAAGAGACTGTCCTGGGATCCCACTGCAAAAGACAAAACCAAAGAAAAATTACCACTTAGACATTATAAACTGGAAAATATTATGGGGGGAATGCATCAAAACTGGAGCAGACAAAATTTGAAGCCGGTTTACACAGCAACCAATCGGCTTCTTTGTCTCATTTTTAAATGTTACCTGAGCAAACTGTAGAGAGAAGCTGATTGGTTGCCATGGGCAACTGCTCCAGATTTTGTCTGCTCCACTTTTGATAAATCCCCCTATGTGGTTATTCATACATGCAGAAAAGTAACGTAACTTGGTGACTCCACTGTGGATACTGTAAGTAAAACTTGGGATACAATCTGCAACTTAATTGCTAGCAATAACTTTCAAATGTATTAAAATGTTACATGATCCAACACACAGTACCTTTTATGTACTAAGTAAATAGATAGGCCTCCAAGGAGATCTACTGGTATGTGTCAGGAATTACATGTACTATGGATAAGATTTAAGGTTACAATATATTCCACTTAAAGTGGAACGTCAAAAGTAATGCAATAGGAAACATTTAGAAGTGTTAATTGTGCCTAAGCAGTATCCTAAAAAAATCTACCTTTTGTTTTGAATTCCACTTGAAAAAAACAGTGTTCTTCCTAGTATGAGAGTGTGGCTAGGTGCTTCTGTGCCAGTAGCCTCATAGCTCTATATCTGCAGTGCGGGATCTAAGACACTGCTGCCTCTGGCTGCTAATCTCAGAAGATGAAGAGTGTCACTACTGTTGTGCTTACTGATCTCCTTGCTGGAGGGTCTGACATGAGGAAGCAAAGCCCTGCCTTTACCACGATGGCCTACTCTACACAGAGACACAATGCAAATCAAGGCATTGTAGGTTAGCAACGGGAGAAAGATCAGATGTAGGGAGATCACAGGAAATACTAGCAACTAGTCCTTTTTGAAAATGGGTTTAATATGCTTGGTAAGCTGAGTGGTTTGTTGACTTCTTATACATCATGGGAATTCCAACAGCAAGCTCTGTCTGCAAATGTTCTTGCCCGCCTGTAAGATTTACCTTTCTAGATATTTTTTGGAGTAGGATTGTATATGAGATACTATAGACAGCTTCTAGTTGTTAAAATAGATGCTAGTGAGCAGATAAAAGGACTGGCGGAGGGACCGTTTTTTAAAAGTGCATTAACATACAATGTCTTGAGATCTTTAAAAGGAGGAGTATGGGGTACACCTTTTTTTGCATTTTTAGTTTCCTTATGACACAGGAATACCTTTTGCAATGTACTCCATAGTTCTCCTTTAATCCTTTGTTAGGACAGACAGACCTGCTCATCTAGTTTACAAGTGATGAAAGCCACCAACACAGTACAGACAGGGTTAACTATTTGAAACAAAACTCCCCCAGTCGCCTCAAACAGTGAGAACGAAGTAGGAGTTTTCAGAAGAGAGCGTCTAAAAAAGGTAAGCCACACTTTAATATATTTTTAAATTCTGCTATGTGAATGTGAACATGTAACAAATATAAAGTAGGTGTTATCTCGATTTAGCTGCAAAAGTGGAATTACACTTTACCTATTATTTTTCTATAGTTCTAATACATTATACACTGAGTGGCCAGATTATTATGACCACCCGACGTTTGTAGGCAAATTAGCAAGTAAGCTCGTAGAATGTGAATACCAACATTTCAGCACCCTGAGTCTTTTTAATGAAAGAGAATATACAATAAATGATTCCTTGATCCTGCTAATATCTCACTGAATACGTACTAGTATTTCTTCCAGACAGCTTGTACTCCAGTTCTTGCACTTGCTTCACCAGTAGGGAGATGTGCTGCAGAAGGTCCTTATTCTGCAGCAGCAGCTGGTGGACTCGGGCTTGAGACTCCAACCTTGCAGCAGCCTCAGCAGCCAATTGGTCTTTCAGCAAATGTACCTGGTGAAAAGTAAATCATGTTCAGACCGTCAAAGGTTATGCACAGGGAACCCTGGCAGATAATAGTCCCTCATACCTCTCCCTATTCTCACCTGAGCCACAGCCACTTGTGTTTGTTGCTGTTGCTGCTGCAGCTGCTGTTGAAGGAACTGGATTTGATGGTGGACAGAGAGTGGAGTCCCAGGGGATAGCTGACTTCCCGAGGGTAGTAACATCTTAGGTGAGGCAGTAATCATCTGATCCTATAGGGAAGGCAAAATATAGAGTACAACATAGTCACCCAAAGGAAAAACAGGCCATTGCCCAGGTAATGCGTGTCATTGAATACACCTAATGCATATCTTTTACTTACACCCACAGGCCACTTTATTAGGTACACCTGTTCAATTGCTTGGTAACACAAATTGTTAATCAGCCAATCACATGTCAGCAACTCAATGCATTTAGGCATCTAGACGTGGTGAAGACGACTTGCTGAAGTTCAAACCGAGCATCAGAATGGAGAAGAAAAGGGAACGTGGCATGGTTGTTGGTGCCAGACGGGCTGGTCTGAGTATTTCAAAAACAGCTGATCTACTGGGATTTTTACGCACAACCATGTGTAAGGTTAACAGAGAATGGTCCAAAAAAGAGAAAATATCAAGCGAGCGGCAGTTGTGTGGACGAAAATGCCTTGTTGATGTCAGAGGTCAGAGGAGAATGGGCAGACTGGTTTGAGATGATAAAAAGGCAACAGTAATTCAAATAAGCATTCGTTACAACCAAGGTATGCAGAATACCATCTCTGAACGCACAACGCGTCTAATCTTAAATCAGATGGGCTACAGCAGCAGAAGTCCACACCGGGTGAAGATTGGAAAAACGTTGCCTGGTCTGATGAGTCTCTATTTCAGCTGCGACATGAATGAATCCATCCTGCCTTCAATCAACGGTTCAGGCTGGTGGAGTAATGGTGTGGGGGATATTTTCTTGGCACAATTTGGGTCCATGATGCTATAATGTCAATATGGACCAAAATCACAGAGGAATGTTTCCAACACCTTGTTGAATCTATGCCATGAAGAATGAAGGCAGTTCTGAAGGCAAAAGGGGTCCATTCCGGTACTAGCAAGGTGTACCTAATAAAGTGGCCGGTGAGAGTATATATGCTAAAATTGAAAGCGTTACTTCCAGGAAACTACAATGAAGCACTACTCTATTCCCTACTCCTGCTGGAATCGTGAAAGCCTCACACTGATTTCCATGCGACTGACTAGAATGCTGTAGATTAACTGAGTCTCATGTGCTGAGGTTGGAGACTCTATGCTAGAAGCTATGCTTTTAATTTTTCAGGACTTCTTTAGCTTTTACATATTCAGTAAACATAACCTTGAAATGTGTTCCATAATGTTTAATGCAGTTTTATTTTTTTATATCTATTTAAAAAGTAACTTTAGTTTTATACCAACTTGCAGGTCTCATAAAGCTGCTGAAGGCAATGCAAATAGCTCATATAATTGGATAGCTTATACTTTCAAATATGCAGTTAGGCACTACCAGCTTGGTACATGGTATTTGAAATATGACTTCCTTCAGCAATCTGTACTCTCCTAATGAAGACGGACACCAACTCTGACAGGAAGAATATGTAAATGGAAACTGTATCCAGGCAGTTTATAGCGTACAGCCGACAGTTAAGGATAGACTCCCTATTGTTCCTCCCACTGAAATCCAAATCAGAGGTTAGATGTGCAGAAGGAAAAATAGAGTTTGGTATCTTGAATAAAAACTGGCTGGGTTATGGAACTCAGACAAGGATGTTTTTGCACACTCACAGATCTGTCTAGCTTTAAGGAAAGGAAAAAAGACACTTCACTTGCAATCCATTTGATGCATTTGTGGCAACATTCTGTTAGCACAAAAAGTTTTATGTGTAAAAGCTAAGGAACAGTAGGTTTTCCATATAGCAACCAGGCTACTGGGCACTAGACATATGTATTCTACAAAGCTAGGCATCTCAGTAAAGGTTAACCAGCAGAGATATGGCTGGCAAGGACTCAGTGGGGGCCACTTGACTATGAGTAAGGGACTCCATTTGTGCCACTTGTATTTTGTTCATAAAGCAATGCATGATTACTGTGCATAGCATCATAACTGCTGTCACTGGTACATCATTAAAAAAGCAAGCCATAACTGTCCTAAAGAAGGATAGCAATACTGAGCCATCACTGCTGCTCCCCCAGTATTCTTTTCAGAAGTCAAATTATACTACAAGTATGAAGATGAGGCCACTGGGCCATGGACCACTTAACTTTGACTTCCTCCATCTTGCCAAAGAAAGCCTTCCACCATGTCTAACCCTCCTTGTGAAGGTTCAAGCATGGAAGTAACCAGAACTTAGGACATATCTGTTACATCATAAAGAATTTAAAAATTAGAATACAGAAGCACACAATCTACCTCTGCCTTCTTTTCATCAGTGCGGTCATTCTCTTGATTTACAGCATCCAGATCCGTCACTCCACGGCTGTATATTGGAGCCAGTCCTCCAGGCACAGGACTGTCCAGAGCATCAATGTCAGTCTCATCAGCATTGTGATCCACGCTGGCAACTATTTGTGTCACTGGAGATCAAGCAGAAGGAGAAGATAACAGAGGAATGTTAGGAGGACATCCAAAGCATGATAGCTACAGGAGACTCTTGCAGTGCAACAATCAGGAGACTACTGGCCTGTGTAGGGGATAATTAGAAGGCAATTTAGTAAGTCCCTGGGTATCAGATGCAGATGTTTCTATATGTTGGAAAGTCTGCTTGGATAGATGTTGACCACAGTCTTTTCTGTAGCAGAAAGGATATAGACTATCACAACACTAAGCAACATGCACAGGAGGAGATTGCAGTGGGTCTCACTCACTGGCCATCACTGTAGCTGAAACATCTACCTGCCGGGCCAACCAGTTACAAATGAAGCACAGAACATTTGTGCTAAACAGAACCATTTCTTATGATGGGATTATGCTGTAGAATAGATGATATACAGGATGGAAATGCACGTCATTATGATTGGGACACATATGAAGGCAAAAACTGAGGCAAAGTTCAGCTTGTCCACAGTTTGAATCCTATCCAGGACTATTTGCATGGAGGTTGCATGTTCTCCCTGTGCTTGTGTGGGTTTCCTAGCAAATGTTTTTGCCCACCTGGAACACCAGAGTCATCAGTGCTCTTCTCGCTGTCTATATCCTCTCGTCCATCCCCAGCCTGCTCTGTGTGCTGCAAACTCAGCTTGTGGCACACTTCAAAGGCTTGTCCCACAGTCCGCACTACCCGCATGGCATGGCTCTGTATAAGGGAACATTGTCAACAGTAATATTTTAAGAGATTGATCATTTGTAGTTTTGAGCACAAACATTTTACAGCAGGTTTATCAGTACTTCAACAACGGCCACCTCTTAACACTGAAATAAAAGTGGTTATCTGACTGGAAGCAACATCATCCACCCCTCCTCTGTCCAATCAGGGAATTCCTTGTAACTACTGAAAAATAATACGAGACGTTTTGTGAATGGTGGAGGTGGCAAGCAAATGCCCCCCTGTGCTCAGTGTACAGATAACAGGCCACTCAAGCAGCAGATGGAAGAGATCAGTGTTGACTGAATGCAGCACAGACTAATACAGTGAAATTCTGCATTCCCAGTGGCCCACCAGATGTAAGATGAGAAGAATCAGGTGTAACCAAGCTGGACCAATATATATTTTAAACCGTTCAGCTTTAACCCTGTCTGTATTGTGCTCATCAGATCTATCAGTTGTATGCTTTTGAACACTGTCCTAACAAAAGGTTTTAGTTCTCAGGGCTTATGTTCTGCATTGTCACCCTTCACTTTCACTTTTAAAATTGTGCAGAATGGCTTGCAGTCTGCCCAAATGCTTGCTCAAAAGAAACTACAGAGGCAAGATTTTAAAATAATAATAATTTTAGGTATGCTTTGAGAATGGACACATATAACAAACATATGATGAGGTTTTCTAAAATGTCACTGCAAAAGTGGGACATACACTTTAAGAAATGTAAATTCTTCTGTATAAAAAAAAACAAACCCTTATATAAATGTGCAGACTACAGACGGGGCATTCACCAGGTGAAATATGTCTGCTATGCTGCCTAAATCCTTCACAGTGTCTAGCAAAGCTTACAAGGTCATGTAGAGAAATGTAGAAAAAATGTGTATGAAGAAAGAAATATTTTACAACACAGCTAAAGAACACTAACTTTTCTGTCTTTCTAGATTTCTGGTGCAATTTAGGTATTAAGACTAGTATTTCATGTTACCTGTCCATCTGCAACAGCAAATACAAACATTTTATAAAGTATATAAAATATATCAGCTTTGAAGACATGGAATAAGTCAGTTCCTTTTGATTAGGGATGCACCAATACTAGTAAACATGGTTATATTAACCCCAATAAATATCTTATTTGTTCCATTTTTGCCTGTTAAATAAACCTTTGTAAGATGTTTGTTATACTGGTTCAATAAGTGCAAAAAAAAAATCTAACACGATGATATACTGTGCACGCTAATGTGCTGCACTCTTATCAGTTATCATTGTCTTTGTGTGGACTATAAAACACCCCCTTCTATGACATAGAAAAGGAGGAGAGGGATGTGAAAGAACATGCCGGAAAATCTTTGAACGAACAGAGCGGACAGCTAATGAGCTGACGGCTCTGTTTGGGTATTCTAACAGCGGTCGGCAGCTGCTGTCAGAAAACAAAAGAAACAGTGGGGATTCTTTGATCAACGTTTGTAAGCGTTGATGGAGGAATCTGTTCTGTATTTTCCCATTTAGTTCGCGGGTTGAACAAAAACAATAGAACAGTGTATGGCCAGCTTAAGGGACTTGTTGTAACCCTTTACTTCACGAAAAATGTTTACTTCAAAGTTTTTAGTTCTGGCAATGTGCCCTGTTTAATTATAGCTTTAGCCTAAAGAGCAAGAGTACATTTTCTGAACTCCATTAAAGTCTACGAACATGGCTTTTGTTCCTTTTCCTTACATATGCTTAATGAGACCCCCAACAGACCATTCATTTCATCCACAATCTTCCCATAGAAGTATAGGTGCATTTAACATATTTTATGCATGGTATTTTCCTTTGAAAGCCTCCCTGGTGTAGACATCCAAAAGTCCTGAGACTGCTGATGAGCCCCACCATCTTGGATAAGACATCTGCAGACCCAGCAGACACAGAGCCGTCACTGAAGTGACACTCTATAGCATTCCCCTTACCTCTCTTAGAAGCTACATGAAGGATTATGTAGGGAGGGGAGGGGTGGAGGAGCTGGGCCAGCAGAGAAAGTAATTGGACACTTCCCTGATGAGAAGGGGGCTATGATGTGTAATAAAGGAGGAAGCTGTGCAAGGGAACTGACTCTGCTGGAATAGTACATTTCCAATCAAGTTCAATGGCACATTGTAAGTGAATAATAAAAAAATAATTTATGGAACGGAAATACACTGCAAATAAGGAGCTAAAATACTTGATTTGTCTGTGATTTCACCTTCAATCTTTTAAGTCGGTGACAATGTGTCTCTTTAAACTGTGTGCTCCTCTGAGCACCAACCCAACTGTTACCAGTAAAGAAACACAAGGCTATCAGAACTAACATTAGCAAAATGCCCAGGGACTGCAAATTCCATTTTCAGCCACTCTCTCCTGATCTTCACTTCCTCTCCCATTTAACCAAAAGCAGTAGCTGTGAATGACATGACGCCATCTTCCTGTATTTCTGTATTCATGTTTCTTGTTTATAAGTAAACTCTTAAAAACTGCTTAGTGAGCATGCTGGTGTCTGTTGTGAATGGATGGTGCCTTGCATTGTTACAACGCAAAGCACTTTTTACCATTTTCTTTAAGCTTTATTACCATTACACACACAATTCCATTTCCTTTACCTCCATGCACTGCAGCTCCACTGAGGTGGCATGGCTGCATTTTTTCAAAACGCACCCCAACCCACCTCAATGCAGAGTTAGTGTGAACAGGGCACACAATGGTTTTCTACATGCCTTTGTTGAACTGTGCAGATTGACGCAGGCCAACTTATACAGTGTTAACAAGACCTAAATAATTATTTCTGATTGTGCAGATATCTGCCGTCTCTGTGAAGCTATCTGGTCCCTATTTCTTGTATGTTGTTGAGCACTTTGGACCAGGCAAGCCATCATATTCAGCTACACCTCATTAGTCACTGTGCAGACATACATACAACAAGGAAAGCTTTAACATTTGCAGATCAATTTACTACACTCATCAGTTTTAAACAAAGAGCAAAATTAATAGTTCTACCAAGGTGGTCTAATACTGCTTACCACAACACTAAAGTGGTATTGTAAATTGTGTGTGTGTTGTGACTGTGTGCATCCTGTGGGCTGTGTGTGTAGTGTCTAGCTATGCTCTGTTTGTATGTGCAGCATTTGTACTCTATGGGCTTCATTTAAAAAAAACATATAGCTGGCCAGATGCCATTAGCACTGCACTGTCACCTCTAGATGGCACCGATGAGTATAGGGGGCGGAAGTTCTATAAATAAAGCCTTAAAAGAGAACGATGGGGTAGGTGTTTTTTCCCATAGTTTTCTTTAGGGTCACGGTAGGACATATACTAACCTCCTCCCGTGACCCATAGCTCAGTATATTGTGGGCTATTGCAAGCGATGTACAGAGAGCGTCGCAGCCGGGACGGGTCCCGACAAAAGTGTGTTTTTCTGCAAAGGAGAACAAGCAGGTAGAAATCCAACCCCAAGGAGATAAGAAAGGGAGATGGAGCATTGTCACCGAGGGTGTAAAACTGAATGGGAATAACAAGCCTCCAGTGCTCTTTTCTTTTTATATTACATAACATATAAGAACACACAATATAATAAAAATAAACTATAGGACTGTGGCTGGCAATGCTATATAAATAGAAAGAACTAGATCCAGTATTTAGAAAGCAATTTTCTTGCACTACATCTCTCCCAGCCCAAAAATCCCCCAAGGCATTTCTGAGATTTGCCAATAATTTAATGACATTTGCCGGATATCAGAATCAAGTTACAATTGAGAAGGGTCTATTTTCATACCAGCAACTTCCTTCCTGGACTTTTCAGACACCAAGCAGAATGTAGCTGGTAAGGAAGTTTTTTTTTTTCCTTTCTCTAATGCACTTGCTAGCTGGAAAATGTCCTTTCCATGATGTACAATGTCCGAAAGCCGCAATGAGAAAAGCAAACTTCAGCAGACAGATTTATTTTAGCTACGACCCAGAAGCTTTAGATATTAAATTCTCCATGGAAACGGGGAGTAATGAAATAAGGGACCACCGTGTTCTCCTTTTAATAACCAAGGCTCTATTAGACACCACACTGTAAACAACAGGGAACAGCGGCTAAGAGTCACAAGTGTCTCTGGTATCTTTATAGAAAGTTAATGGCAATGAGAACAGCTGGAGGCCACTGCCTTTTATTAGAGTATGAGTCAGAAACCTTTACAGGTCATGTAAGGCATAAAACCATTCATATGATGCTGGTAAGAAGTGAAAAAAATAAAGATTAATATAAGTCTCCTGAACACAATTACTGATGCTTGCAGTCTAACGAGCTTATATAGGTAAATGATTCAAGCTCCATCAACCCATAGCAACCAGCCCCAATTCTTCTTTTCATAAGATGATTGCAGGACAGCGGTTTATTCTGGTTTGGGGCCGCCCTAGGCAAGACGAAACTAGGACAACCCAACCCGCCACCCTCTTACCG